CTTGTGAAAGATTTATTTTCAAAATCGCTCTTACAGAACCAGTACTGAAATATTTTTCCTAGCAATATATATGAATTTGTTAATATTAAAACACATTTTCATTAATTTTGGAAACCTACTTCTATGACTGATATGCGTGTATCTGAAACAATTAATCATTTTATTTTTTTGGAATAGGCCTCAAAAATATTATATGAATGTTGACTGATAATTATGATAATTTGCTTTATCAAACATTGCCAGGAATGTGTGGAATATTTGGAAATTGGATTTCCTTGTGAGATCACGATTGTAAGGTCAGGCACTGGTGACAAGAGGAGGCAGATTAAAAGCTGCTGTACAAGGCTTTATTGAGATTCGCTCCAGGGCGAGACCCTCCAGTCCAACAGAGCGGGTCCAGAGGAGTCGTGCCCAGGCTCAGCTGGACTGGAATTTTATTGGGGTTTAGGGCAGGAAGGGAGAGTGTGGGACCGGAAGGGAGGGTTTTAGGATTCCTTGTCCTCCTGGGGTTGGTTGGGGGATCTTGCTGAGCTCCAGGTCCTTCTAGGATCAGTCAAGAGATCCCACTGATTGACAGGTGGTTATCACTGCTTGTCTGTTGGTATCTGATTGGTTATTGCCTGGTGCTTTGTTCTCTTAGCCACCTCAAACCGACCTAACAACTATACTTTCAGAGTTTGGTTATAACTCCTGAGCTCAAGGCACTTTCACTGCGGTGACTAAAAGACCTGACCGGAATAATTGTAGAGGAGAAAAATTATATTGGGGGCTCATGGTTTCATAGGTCTCAATTAAAAACACCAGGTTACATTCCTTAGGGATCAAGTGAGGCAGAACATCTTGGCAGAAAAGTATGGTAGAGGGAAGTGGCTCACTTGATGATCAGGCAGTTGAGAGAGAGAGAGACTGAACTCAGCTTACGAATTTATACCCCAGAAGCATGCCCCCAGTGACCCACTTCTTCCAGTCACACCCTACCCACCTTCAGTTATCATTCAGTTAATCCTATCATGGAATTAATTTACTGATTGGGTAAGGCTTTCATAACCCACACACTTTCATAACCCACATTTTACCTCTGAATATTCTTGCATTGTTTCACACAGAGCTTTTGGGGACACCTCAGATCCAAACCACAACACACTGGGTTTGATCATCGGCACTGAAAAAAAAAATTAAATCTCTATTTTCAAATTTTTTTCTTTATTTATAGAATATTATTGAGTCAGTTTCGTAAGTCTTTAAAGTTAACACATAGAAACATTTGTGTATGTATGTATATGTGTATACATATGCATGAAGAGATTTATGGTTTTTAATTTTCCACCAAAATATTTTAGAACATAGGGAAATAATATCTTACACTGTAGTAAAATTTTATCTTTAAATTGTGTTTTGTCAAAATAAAACTATTTAGTACATAAATATCAAATAGCCATTAACAATAAAATATAAATTTGATTTAATATGAATCAACAAATTTTTATTAATTTTTCAATGTATATCCCATTTTGACATTTTATGTGAGATTAAATTGAAAATACATCAAGTTTCAAAACACATCAGTACACTGATTTTTATAAGGTACTTTACAAGTTTGCCTTTATTGGTCTGCTAAATCTTGCACATTTTTCCATATCTATAAGAATAAATTTTGTGCATTTGGGAATTCCATTGCAATCATAGCAAATTAAACTCAAAACCTTTATACTGGAACACACACACACACACACACACGGAACTGACAGAAGCAGAGAGTGGAGTGAAGGTTACCAAGATATGAGGGAGTGGAGTAGTGGAAATGGTAAGATGTTGATCAGAGTGTAAAGTTTCAGTAATGCTTGAAGAGCATACTCTGGAGACTTAACTTATAGAATGGTAGCCACAGTTAATAATAACTAGTGCATACCTGAAGTTTATTAAGAGAATAAATCTTAAATTTTCTCATCACAATAAATGATAACTGTGAGATGATGGTTATGTCAGTTATTATGTCAGTGTGACTATGGTTATCATTCACAATGTATACTTATACCAAAATATCAAATTCTATACCTTAATTATGTAAGATTTTATTAGTCAATAAAGATGTAAAAATAAAATAAATTTCAAATAGAATATAAATGAACATGCCAAGTTTAAAGTATTATCAGATATGGGTTATTTTTCTAATAAAACTTGGGTTTATCCAAACTAAGTTTTCATAAAGAACTTGTGTTGTAGTTGGGTTTTTTAAATTTGCTTTTTGTTTTAAAGTGAATTGTTTTCTGTTTCTGTTCTCAATTCACAGAATTTGTGTTTTTTTTTCCTCTATCACTACTCCTTTGTTTTACATTTATCTCAAATGAACTCATACTATCTGTAATGAATTGTTATTAACCCAACCTGAAACAAATGACAAATGATGATAATGGTTAACAATAGCAAAAACTGTACCCTATTAGGAAATTAAACAACAACAACAGCAGCAAAAACTGTCCTAATGTTTTTGTGAAACCTAAATTTCCAAGAGTTTTTTTTTTTTTTTTTTTTTTAAGAATTCTGTATTATATTTACTACTGTCACCTTCTGGTGACACAAATGTTGGTTTGGAGATTGTTTTCACAGAAAGTTTCCAATGAAAATAATTCTGAATTTTTATCACTGTAAATAATGATTCAATTACTTTTATACATTTTTGATGTTTTCTCTGTATTGCTGGATTAGGATGTATTTGAACATATTATTGCATTCTTTTCTCATCCTTTATTGTGGTTCTAAAAATACATTTAATATTAGGTATGAAGAATATTTGTCTTAAGAAAAATTTGTCTTAAGAAAAATAATATTATAGGGATTGAATATGCCCTTTCCCTTAATTTTAAGAACATTTGATACAGAAATAGTAATAAAATTCTAGATTATTTTTGCAAATGAATTTTGTAAAGCACTGTTGTTTTGTATACAACAATGATGAAGACTCTAAATATATTGCTGTCATAGTAATTTTTGGTTTGTATGCCTCTTCACATATTCTCACTGATTGAAGGCTTCCTTGATGTATCTTTAATTAACATTAAGATTCTTGCAGCTCACAATGGTGACTAATATTTACAGCAAATGATTGCTTATCAAATTTTCTTATGTATAGATAAGTTATCTGTATGTAAGTTATCTATATGTAATTTATAATGTAATGTGAAAATTGTTTTGGTATAATTGCAAAAACTATATCACTTAATTTGAGATACCTTTTTCAAATGAATCATCTTTGTAATAAGAATGTACCACTCTTTTTAAGAAGCATGAGTACACTAAAATATCAAGTTGTAAGTTTGGCATACATGTAAGAGGATGGTCACATTTACACTTATGTCATCACACAGTTGCTTAATCATCTGCTCAGACACTGCATCCACACAGGGGAACTTTAGAACTCATTCACCCTCAGAATCCACTGTTAGTCTGAACTGCCTAATGAGTATATCGGCTTTTATTTATCTTTCACTGATAGCATAGAATATATTTTCAGCTTAAAATATTCACTGATGAATCAATTTTAATTTAGGGACTAAGTAAAATTCTCATTAAGCCTGACAAATGGTAGCCTTGAGTAGACATTTTAAATCAAGATACCTCATGTTAGTTATGAAATATGGACTGCATCAGGGATGAAGTGTTTCTTTAAGAAAGTAATGGAAAACATTTAGCTGTGAGGTTATATTATACTTCTGAATAAACACTTCTGAATAAATACTTCTGAAGTGTATAAACACAAACATAAACCAGGAATAACTAATGGGTTCATCCTATACATTTTGTGCCGGTATTACGGGTAGGATAAACCATTGTTTTTCGACAGAAAAATTTACTTATGGAAAGAAGAATTGAATACAGAAAGATTTTAAGTAAAAATTGTAGCAATGAGGTCCCTGTGAACTTGAGTGTCTTTTTCAGTATTTTTTTCATATTATTTTATTACATGTATTTTTTTCTGAAAAATAAATTAAGTCCAGGTCTATTAGTCTAATTATCACAGAAGTGCCCAGGTTATATTTCTCTTACAATAATCATATTTATTATCTTCTTTATTATAAGAGAATATAATAATTATATAATAAGATATAATTTTAAATTATATAGATAGAATATTGGTGTTTGTGATCTATAATCTGTGAACTTAGTGTCATTATTTGACTGAACAGAAGGGAAAATGGGAATGAATCATTTTTATTATTTCTTTTATATTATATATATCATTAGGATACATTTTGATATAAGCATACAAGTATGAAATAGAACTTGCTATAATTTAGTCCCCAGCACTTCCCATCCCTTACCCTGTTCCTCTACTCTACTGATCTTTGGGCAATTTATTCATAATTTTTTTTCATGTAGGTAGACTTGATATTGGAATTCACTGTGCTATATGCCTGTGTGTACATACTAATTCTTAAAATGGTTTTATTTATGTAGTAAGTAGTATATATAAAATAAATTAAAATATAAATTTTTAATATATGAATATTAACTTTTTACTGATTTTTTTAAGGCTTGGGTAAAATTTGTCACTTTTCACTGTCTTTAAAATGTATATCATCACAATCAGTGAATTTATTTTATAACTGATGAAACTCTGGTTATGTTTTCTTCAGGACATTTTTTTTTTTTAAATGGGTGTGGGTCTTTCCTGTTGAACAATGTTCCTTACCCATCTTCACATTGGCAATATTCTATGGACCAGTTTGTGTTGCTTCAGCAGAACTTAACTTTTGCCTCAAAATTATGATGTATTCAACCAAACATTAGTTAATATAAGAAAACTGAATATATTGATTTTTATGTCTAGTTTTTAAAAAGAATATTATAGATAATGATTCCCTTAATCACTCTACAGTCCTAAGTCCATCAAACTCATTCGTAAATAGGTAACTAGAACTAAAATAAAGTTAGTGTTGATGTTGATAATGATTTAACTTAACACAAACTTACTGTTTCTTCATTTTTTTTTTAAATTTCAGATGCAATAACAGAACCCAATGTGCAGTGGTGGCAGGCCCTGATGTTTTTCCGGACCCATGTCCAGGAACCTATAAATACCTTGAAGTGCAGTATGAATGTGTTCCTTACAGTATGTATATTCCTGTCTTTTCTTGTAAGAAAAAAATATTAATCTTTGTTTTACATGAATTTATAAAACATTATCTGTGAAAAAATTTAAGTAATCATATAAATGAAAAAAGGGGGCTGATTTTAGCTTTTGAGGATCATAGACCTTCCCCACCATTGGAAGAATCAAATATTTCCTGCATATTCCTGCAGTGTTTATTTTAAATATTTCCATACATCAGCACCTATTTTGACACTCTTTTCTTGATACAATAATATAAAGTATTTAAGAAAAGGTTGAAGAAGTACCATGCCAATCCTGCATTGTCCAGGTCTGAGCAAATGGGAAAATAGAGTAAATAATGTGCATATAGTGGTACAGAAATTGATTACTTTTGAATTTCATACAAGGAATTATAACTAAACTTCATATGCTGTCAATACTTGGAGATTTAGAAATATATTCCAGAGGAAATAGATTGTAACAGGTATAAGGATTTTATGAGTTAAGGCATTCTTCACAGTATATTTTTTAAAGCTTCAGAAGCTTCAGATATCTTTGCAACCTTTATGTCAGATATATGATATGGGCCAGGAATATTTTTTTTTTCTTTAGGAATAATGAAGTATCAAACAATCTGAAGTGGAACATTTTCTGAATTTTTTACCCAAAGGAAGACTTAACCATCGCAAAACTTTTTTGAAGTGACTAGTTAATTATTCGTGGGATTTTTTTTTTTTTTTTTTTTTTTTTTAGTGAAAATCACTCCGGAAATCCTGTAGTCTCATTTTAGTTATTCAGCTCATCCCAAAGATAGAAAACACCTGGGATCATAAACAAATCCCAGGTTCCAGCTTCCTTTGATGTCTCAGAAGGAGCAAAATATCTGGGGATCAGCTGGTTTACTGAGCCAAGAGATAGTTCTAAACTTGCCTGTTTTGCACTTATTTAAAGCAGCAACACTTTACTCAGGACTTAGAAATGAACATGCTTCAAAAATAGAAATTTGACCACCAAGAAATAAATTGAAAATTAAAAATCGTAATGAAAGAGATCAAGAGACAGTTTCAACTTTTGTTATCTGTAGTGTGGTTGATTAGAGAAAGTTAAACCTAGTAAAGTTTGATATACTGGTCTTCCTTGTTATGAAAAAGCATTAAGCATTTTGTTGAAATCTCAATTATACTATGTTTCTTAATTTTATATCTATAGGCCCTTCTATGAAAAATATAAAACTCCTACTGAGCATTTATTGTTCAAGAGTGAATTTTGAAAGAAATGAAATTCAAAGGCCATCTTGGAAGTGGGATAGTTATGCCTGGGTTGCATAATAAGATCTTTGTGAAATATGTAGAAATAAGGTAGAATCTTATTCTAGGAAGGCATTTTATTAAAATATACAATAAGGTGAACCTCTTTTTTTTAAAAAAACTTACATTTATATTTTTCATTTTCATACTTTGAAACATGAAAGCAGAAGTAAAATGTCAGTTTGTAGATTTCATCTTCATTTTTTAATAGTAACAAACTTCACAGCTGTCTCTTTGGTTTCTTGTATTTCAATAGAATTTCTTTGAGATCTCTACTCCAATATCCTATGCCAACTCTTGGTAAAATATCATCTACTTGTATCACTTCAATATAAATAAGAACTTGCTCATACACTTTAAAAGGATCATGGTTTACCACAGGTTTCTTTTCTTTCATAAATATTTAGGGATGGGCAATTCAATTGCTTACCTTAATATTCCTGTATTAGAGATTTCTGATAATCCTGAAACTTTAGTGACTGCCTTATGAATATGTTCCTTATTAAAATATTTATCTGATTCTTCCACTAAATAAGAATTATGAACTTAGGTGTTCCTACTAGCTACTGTATATGTTGGTTTACTTTATACCATATAGCATGGCCATGTTTGTTTAAATTATTTTCATTATGTTTCAGTTAAAAATGTAATGCAGGATTGGAATTCATTTACTAAATTCAACATGATTTTAAAAGAAAATAATCTAAAGGAAAGTATAAACTCTAAAGTAAACTGTCGTGGCTCATTGGAGAGGTGGATTGATTCAATACAAAGATCAGGCACTTTGGGTTTAGAAAATGGTCTGACTATTTAACAAAAAGGCTGGGTTCTTTTGCATGAGTAAGCCATTAAAATGTTCAGCATCTTACCCTTAGACCTTCCCTGGTTGATGAATCAATCCTAATATAGATCAACATGCAACTGTTTTCTTAAGCATAAAGTGCATTTTTTCAATGCTGAAAAGATTCACTTCTTTAAAATTCTTGTCATTTATTGATACTTGCTACATGTCATTTACTACATAGACTAAATGGTTACATATATTATTTTATTGAATCCCCACAAGACCCTCCCTGGAGGTATGAGTGTTGTCATTTTACTAAAGAGTAACCAGGCTACATATGTGTTTATGTAAAATGTAGACTTTTGAGTGAATGGCAAAACCAAGACAAGCTATATTTCTTCTCCCCTTAGATTTTTCCCTTTATACTTTTGTGAGTTATTTAATCTTGTTTAATATTTAGTTCTTATAATTTTTAGCAATATGGTAATGGCCTATGGTGAGCACAGATGCTTCAAGGGCTTAGATCCTTTTTCTTAGTCTCTCAGCTATTTATTATTAAGAAGCTTCTGCTCCATTATTTAGAGCAATTGAATTTCCCTGTGCTTTTTCCCAAAACATTTCATGGAGCTTTGGGGCATTAACTACTTTGTGCCATTAAAAATACTACCTAGAGCTTAGAATGTGCCTCTTTTTTAAAGAGTAATTGAGGAAGATGTTTTAAATGATTTTTATTATTGAGGAAATGCTATACTTAATATCTTCATGATTTTTTTTTAGTTTTATTGATTTTATTTTTTTAAATACTCGACAACAGAATGCATTACAGTTCTTATTACACATATAGAATAGAATTTTTCGTATCTTTGTATATAGAGTATGTTCACGCCAATTCATGCCTTTATACATGTACTTTGTTTTGTTTTTTGGCATTTCAATTCTTATTACACATATATACCACAATTTTTCATATCTGTTTATATATAAAGTATGTTGACACCCAATTCAAGTCTTCATACATGTACTTTGGAAAATGATGCCCATCACATTCTAAAGACCTTTATTGCATTAGTGTAAGGCAAACTTCAGATTTAGGATTTAATATTTGACAGTTTTCTTATTAAATACCTAATAAACAAACCCAGTAAAGTTCTATTCTGTTATATGATTCAGTAATATCTATTTCCATTTTTGCATTTAGGACCACAAACTGTTAAACATGTCAGAACATTGTAGTGATTGGCAGAACCACTTATGATGACAGTCCCATGAAATTATAATGGAACTGAAAGATTCCTATTACCTGGGACTTTTACTGCACCTTTTCTATTTAGATATGCTTAGATGCACAAATATGTTTGGTTAGTTTTAGTTGCCTGCAGCATTCAGTACAGTAATGTGTTACAGGTTTGCAGCAATCAGCTGCACAGCCCAGGTGTAGGGTAGGTCATATCAGCTACTTCTGTGTAAATACACTCTAAGTTGTTTACACAATGGCAAAAATCACCTAATGATTCATTTCTAAGAATGCATCACTATTGAGTGACACACAGTAAAATACATTTAGTATTTATGAATGTTTTCTTAATATTGTTATGTGAAAATATTGTTAGTATCAATATTATCTTTCTTTATATACATTCTATGTGTTTCTACAGCAACTTCGATTTTTTAGGTGAGATTATTATCATGAGAAATTTAGGAAAACAAGTTTTTAGGAAAATATGTCAATACTAATGTAGCATATTAGAGTTAATGCAGACAAAAATTCAACAAAGATGAATGTATTACATAAGAAAAGCAAATGTCCCAAGAAACTTAGAACAATTTGTGTGTGTGCATGTGTGTATATTATGGGATATTGAACCCAGGACCTCACCCATGTGAAGGGAATACTACTCTACCATCAAACTACATCCCCAGCCCAACTTACAATAATTCTTGCACAGAATTTTAGAAGTCAATAAATAGGTACATAATGGAATACTGATGACTTTAGGGGAATATTCTGAGTGAATCAAATGATGTGGCTTATATCAATCTTTTTCAGAATTCCTAATGTTTTATTTAGTCTTTATTGAGTCTTAACTACTTTCTCCTGTTGTGTATTTTCTTATCTGTGTTTACAGATACCCTGTTTCTAACAAAATCCGTAACAGATGAATCAATACTTTTCTCTGTTCCTGTCACACCTTAGTTCCAGTGTCTTTTGTAGCCTCTGTATTTTCTTTTGAGGTTTGATTTTCCTTCTTAGTGAATGTTTTCCTCCCAGGAAATGACCCAAGTATTTAAGAGATTAAACCTCACTATTTCCTAAGCCCCCTTTTTGTTCTTCCTTGTTCTTCTCGCCCCATCCCCATCCCTTTTGACCTGATTTGAGATTGAAAATGTGGTATTTTCAAGTAGAGCTGCCTTCATTGAGTCAGGTTACAGGGATGACTTGTGTTAGAGAGAATACAGTTAAACAACTAACCACCTACTTAGAATATTCTCAGCAAAGAATATTTACTTTATAGCCTGCTGACAAATGGTGTTTTTTTCCAACAATACAATTTTATGCATATTATACTCCAAAAGAGCTCCTCTTCCCTGACAATCCTGCTTGTCTCTGTTTCTCTTTTTCAGAATAACAAAGCACATAGTTCTTATTCCTCTTATGGTTGATTTTCTTAAATTGAAGGGAAAATACACAATTTGGAGAGTTACTAGAAATGTGTTTGATTAAACTAATCTTATGGCTTTCTTAGTGTTAGAAGGCTTAGAGTTAGAAGGCTTAGTTAGAAGGCTTTCTTAGTGTTAAAAGCTATATGAATAGTCACGTGTGTAATTGTCTTTATGAAAAGTCATAAAAAATTAGTATTATTGGAAAATTAAAATTTATAAGTAAACAAGCTTTGACTAAACCCAGATATTTAAATAGTTAATCATAA